CTCTGTCTCAAATAAATAAATAAATAAATAATAAAAACCAGTCTGAGGTTCTAAAGGTCTGGACCACAGATATAAATTTGGGGGTTATCAGTCTATAGGTGATATTTAGTTCTGAAACAAGGAGAGATTACTGAATGAGCAAGTGAAAAGCAAGATAGAACACAAGTCTAAGAATTGAGCTCTGGGACACTCCAATGTTAAGAGATTAGATATGGGGACAAAAACAGCAAAGGAAACAAAGAAGTAAAAGCCAGATGAAGATGGGAGATAAATCTGAAACTTTGGTTTTATAGGAGCCAGGTAATAAGGTATTTAAAAAAGGAAAAATTGATCACTTATGTTTAATTTTGTTGATAGATCAAGTAAGATAGATTCTGAGAATGGCCACTGGATTTAGCAAAGGTATGGATGACTTTGATAAGAGTACTTTCATTTGAGAGGTAAAGGCAAGTAGTTTCATTAAAATGCATTGAAGACCAAATATGAGGAGGGGAATAGGAACAGGAAGTATAGACAACTCAACAAGTCTTGTTATAAAAGGACATGGAGAAGTTGGGTGGTAGCTGAAGGAGGATGTGGGATAAGGCGGTGTTTTCTTTATCTCCTTTCTTCTTTTGATCTGGTTGGTGTTTAAGATGGGAGAATCACAACAGGCTTATACTGATAGGGATACTCGAGTAGTCAGGAAAAAACTGATAATACAGAAGAGTGAGGAAAGAAATGCTGAAGCAATGAGTAGGTGGGAGGGAGCTGAAATTAGCCACAAGTCAGGGTAGGCCTAAGACAGGAGAACACATAGTTCATTCACATTAATTGGAACTAAGAGATGCAAGTAGGTGGGCAGATCTGATGAGCTTGTGGAAGAATTTCCCTTTTGACTGCTTGTTTTTTCAGTGACAGGGAAAGTGTTATACCAACACAGGCTGAGCATGAGAAAAAAACCTATCTGAAGTTTGAGGAAAGTAAAAAAATGAGATAGTTGCCTAGAAAAAGTTCATTCTTATTCAATGATTTTTCAATCAAAATGCTTGCCACTAACTTAAAATTTGGGCCCAAATTTCCTATTACCCCACCCCACTCTAGAAATCAAAATCTACTCATTTATGCTCAGTTCTTACCTTTAGGCCTTTCTTTCTCATAAGTTCTTGTTAATCTAGAAAAATGGTAGAGTTTGTCCTTACAACTCTGATTTCATAAACTTGCAAATTAAAAATACTCTCAAAATTCCAGCTCCTTTCCAAAGCACATTCATCCAACTCAACAAGATTCACACTGCTGTTATGAAGGGTCACAGGACTTAGTCTTCCTCTTTGATAGCTGTAGCTACTCCAGCATTCTCAAACCCTACAATGATAAATCATTAGACACTGTCTACATATGATTAAATCACAATGGAAACACACACTCATTCTCAGTCGGAATTTATATTCACAGGCTGAACCCAAGAGAAGAAGACTCAAAAGTTTCCTAATCCTATGAAAGATCTAATCTCATCATGATTCTTCTAGTAACATGACACAGACAAGACTAATCATCTATTTCAGATTACTAAACTGAAAAATGGAATGAAATAGCCCAAAAACTTGTTGTATAAGACTAAAGAAACAGATAAAACAAAACTCAATTCAACTTATTCTAGGAATGTAAAGAGGTTTACCACTTCAAAACCAATTAATGCAATACATACTATTAATAGAAAAACCACAACACATGATAATAGAGGCAGAAAAAGCATTTGCCAAAATCCAACATCTTTCCATGATAAAAATACTCCACAAATTAGTAATAGAAGGAAATTTATCAACCTGATAAAGGGCATTCAGAAAAACCCACAGTGACCATCCTACATAATGGTAAAAGATTATATGTTTTCTTCCTAAAATCAGAAACAAAACAAGGATGTCCACTTTGCCATTTCTATACAACAATGTACTGGATTTTCTAGCCAGGGTAATTAGGCAAGAAAAAAGTAAAAGTCCAAATGGAAAAAAAGAAGTAAAATTATCTCTATTTGTGGAGTACAGAATTTTACATACATTAAAAAAACCTTGGGCGGCACCGGTGCCTCAGTGGGTAAGGCGCCAGCCCTATATACCAAGGGTGGTGGGTTCAAACCCAGCCCCAACCAAACTGCAACAAAAAATAGCTGGGCATTATGGTGGGCACCTGTAGTCCCAGCTACTCAGGAGGCTGAGGCAAGAGAATCACCTAAGCCCAGGAGTTGGAGGGCTGTGAGTTGTGACGTTACAGTACTCTACCAAGGGTGATAAAGTGACAGTCTGTCTCTTAAAAAAAAAAAAAAACCAAAAAAACCCCAAGATGCCCTCTACAAAAATTATTAGAACTAATAAAAGCAAATTGTATTTCTACACACCTGTGATGAAAAATCTGAAAATAAAATTAAGAAAACAATTCCATTTACAATAGCATCAAAAAATAAAATACTTAGGAATAAATCTAATAAAATAAGTACAAATTTTATACTCTGAAAACTATACTATAAAAGACATTAAGAAAAATTTAAATGACTGAAAAGACATTCCATGTTCATAGATCAGATGGCAATAGTCCCCAAATTCATCAACAGATTTAACGCAATCCCTATTAGGATCCGAGCTGGATTTTTGTAGGATCTTAAAATTCATGTGAAGAAAGGGATTCAGAACTGCAAATAATCTTTAAAAGGAACAAAGTTGGAAGCCTTACACTTAACTCCAAAACTTACCACAAAGATACAGTAATCAAGACAGACTGTACTGACATAAGGATAAACATATGAAATCAATGTAACAGAATTGAGAATTCATAAAACTCTTACATTTAATGTCATTCCAATGGAACAAATAATAGTCTCCTTCAACAAATAGTGGTAAGACACAGGTTATCCACATGGAAAAGAATAAAGCTGGACCCCTATGTAACAGATAAATTAAAAATACAATGAAGTATCACCGCTTCACATCCACTGGGATGAAAGAGACCGATAGTGACACGTGCTGGTGAAGATGTGAAGAATTTGAACCCTATACATTTGCTGGTAGGAGTGTAAAATGATACAGCCACTTTGGAAAATTTTTTAGTTTCTTAAAAGGTTAAACGTAAAGCTATCATAGGACCAAGAACTCCATTTCCAGGTATATATACCCAAGAGAAATGAAACATGTCTACAAAAAGACTTGTAAACAAAAGTTCATAGCAGTAATTTATAATAGTCAAGAGTGAAAGCAATCCAAATATCTATCAACTGATGAACAGATAAATTAAATGTGGTATATAAACTATTATTCAGCAGTACAAATCAATGAAATACTGATACATGCTACAATATGGATGAATTTTGAAAATATAATGCTAAATGAAAGACTCCAATCACAAAAGATCACATATCATATATTACATTTATAGGAAAAGCCCATAGCCTAGCCAGGCGAAGTGGCTCACATCTGTAATCCCAGCACTGTGGGAGGCTCAGGCAGGAGGATTGCTTGAGCTCAGACATTTTTATCTGAGCAAGAGTGAGACCCTAATGATACAAAAAACTTTAAAAACCCCAGCCAGGTGCCGTGGTGAGCAACTATAATCCCAGTGAATAGGGAGGCTGAGGCTGTATGATGCCTGCAGCCCGAGTCTCAGGTTTCAGTGAGCTATGATGACCCCACTGCACTCTGCTCAAGGCATAGGGTGAGAATATGTCTCAACAATAACAAAAACAAACAAAAAAACCCTAAAATGTACCACTGTAATCATTTTTTAAGTATACAACAGTTCAGTAGTGTTAAGTATATTTATGTTGTTGTGAAACAGATGTCTAAGACTTTGGCATCCTACAAAACTGGAACTCTGTACCTACTCAACAACAACTCCCCATTTCCTCTCACCCCGAGTGCCTGGCAACCACCATTTCATCTTCTATCTCTGTGAATTTGACTACTTTAGGCACCTCATATAACAGTATTTGTCCTACAGGATTTCTTTCCTTCTTAAGACTGAATAATATTCTCTGTTGAATATACTACATATTGTTTATCCATTCATCCACTGATGAACACTTGAGTTGCTCTTGGGTATTGTTAATACTACTACTATGAACACGGGTATGCAAATATCTATTTGAGGTCCTACTTTCAATTCTTTTGAATATATCTATGCCCAGAAATGGGACTGCTTGATCATAAATGCTCTAAAATTTGACAGTGATGATGGTTGCAGAATCCTGAGAATATACTAAAGACCACTAAATCTTACACTTTATATGGGTGAATTATATATGATTGTATATAACATGTGAATTATACCTCAAGAGAGCTGTTAAAAAAATAATACTCTTAGAGGCTGAATCAAGCACCATAAGTAATCAAATAATTAACTTGGCTAAATAACCAGCCAATTTTGTCATTTGGGTAATTTTTTTTCTTATTTTCAATGCCCTGGATAGATGTTTAGGCATTTTTTGAGACATAACTTAAGTGTATCTTCAGCACTTACATTAGAGAAAGTAGGGAATTTATAAACCTTTTCATGTTTTGCATTAGGAAATACTACTGTGAAGAAGTAACAAATTCATACCAACTATGGCAATTTTTGTTTCATTTGCCCTTAGCCATGTCATTCACCAGATATTTTAAAGATAAAAAACTTTACTCATTTTCACTTCAGATTCCCTTTTTGAAAAATGTCACGCATAATAATTTCACATAAAAGGAATTCAAAAAACAGTTTATTCCCCTTTTTTATAATAAAAAATTATATAATTAAAAGTTCTATATCTAATGTTATTGAATGGAGAGGCAATAAATTGAAAGAAAAACAGGAGAGAAAGAATTTTGAGAAAAAAATAGGCATCAAGTTCATCTCTAATTCTTATACACAACTAGAAAAGCTAGTGGTAATACAGATGGCAACTGATGCGCAGAAACGCATTTCATCACCACCTTATCTGCTTCATCCAGACATTTTCAATATTGTCAAGCTCAAAGATACAGTAGTAGAAAGATGCTAAATGAAATAATCTCAAAGATTTCTCATGACCTCTTCTGATGAGAGCTGAGCAAAGTAAGATAAATCTTAGTTGTCTGACTAATCACTTTTTAAAATAATAAGCTCCATATGGTTCACAAAACAGTATGATGGGTTTGGAAGTCAACTGTCAATCTTGGTTCTAAGACAGGGATTGAAGTAATGGTTTATAATCTAATTATGAAGACAGCTGTCATATGGGACAGTATTTCCTTCCAGATTACACATCCTATACACATCAACAACTTTTCTTAAAAAAACTCTCAGGGTTGATTTTGAATAAAGGCCCAAATACTACCAGTTGATTTCAGATTCTTATTACAGATTTTTTAAAGTCCATTTGTGTGCAGAAGCAAAATTACGAATGGCGACTCGAAGAGCTGAGTTCCCCTCAGAGGTTTCACAGGAATTGATGACTGAATGTAGTGCCCGAGTATATGCTGCAAATAAAGGTCAGCACAGTGAATAAAGGCAAATTCTAAACCTCTCCTACTCTCCACCCCATTGGTACTGCTTCTTTACTCAGAGTCTCATCAGTATTGACTTTAATGACCCACTGAATAAACACTTACTAAGTACTAACGATATGACAAGCACTCTGTGAGGACAGATAAGAAAATGAGGAGGATGGACATGAAAATAATTAAGTTGCCATGTAATACTTCCAAACCAGAAGCATATACAAAACGTCATCACAGAATGGATAAATGAACACCTATACAGGAAGGGATAGAAAAGATTTCTAGAAGTAGTATTATTTAAGATGGTTCTTGAAGGATTAACAGGAGTAAAGGAAAGAAAGCATTACAGGCCAAGAAGTGAATGAGTGAGGTGCAAATGGCATGTAGCTGGAATAGCAAGTTTGATAAGGTAGAGTAGGGCTTGGGTCCAAAGAGAAAATATGGCAAATATACTGTGCATTTCAGATTGCAATGTTTTAGAATAGAGAGATGGAATGATCAGATTTGTGTTTTAAAAAATACAACTTATAGGACTGGTAAGGTACTAATACCATACAGAAGAGACATTAAAAATATAAATGCAGTATTTTCATGGTATACATAAGACCTATATAATCTCTACAGTATATAAATCAATATATTTAGGATGAACAGGAAACAGAAACATTAGTGACAACAGGAAGGGATCCATTTTTTAGCTGGGATTTCCAATAGGAGTTTATACTGTTTCTCATTTTCCTCTGTCTCCTGGCAGAACTGGCAGTGAAATGTACATATATGAAAATAACTCTGTGTTACATACTATTAAAGTGTCTGGGTAATAGAAAATTCAACTGCAGAGTCCTAACTTACAAAAGGCAAATTCTACTAGTCTTCAATTAAAAAACTATCTCAAGGCCTCCTACAATGAAATGAGGTGAAAATACTTACTCAGCACAAATGGGAGCAAGAAGATAACAGATCTCAAAGAAAAATATAACTCAGTATGTTTTTCACTGCCTTGTGTAAGTTATTTTGTAAAGAGTTTATAACAATCTTTGATAAAGAGAAAGCATTCGATCAATGGTAAAGTACTACTATCATTATTCTTCACACTTGATCTTAGCCAAAAGTAAACAAGTGATTACTGTCATTCTTACTGGATTTTTAAATTGCTATTAGGCCCCAACTATTCCTTCAAGAAACTTACCTCTAGGGTTTTTATAGAAAGTACAATTGTTGGCACAGGTATCAGGATGAGCATCCCAAAAATCAGGACCACAACAACACAGTGGAGGTAAAGTAATATTATACAATTGCATTTTCTCCTGGATCTGGGCTCGGAGAGCTTCTACATATCTATAAAAATAAAGTATGATTAGACAAAGTGAAATCCTAGAAAGAGAGTGAGCATGAACCCCGATTATATAACCAGCTTTTTTTTTTTTTTTTTTTTTTTTTTTTTTGAACCTTCCACCTCTGCAGAATTAGC